GGGATCCCCAACTAGCTGAACATCATATGTGACACTGTAGTGAATAATACTGAATTCTGCCTAGGTCCCTAGACTGACTTTTGTCAGATGCTTGTGCCCAAGGTACATCTTCTCTTTGACTGTTCTCTTTTATACCAGAAACCAAAGTTGGATCAAACACTAGAGTAATAAAGACGAATGAATGTAACTTTAAAGTAAATGACACTACTCCCTTTAAAATGAGTATATAAAGGGATAAAGAAGCAGACTAAGCATTCTAATGATATTGGTTTCAGTGCAACAGCTAACAAATATGGAAACTGGTAGACAAATAATGGGTCAATGTAATATTCCCAGATAGTGAACATGTCAACACCTGGATGTTCTGACAATGCAAGAGAATTGAAAATGGCTTATTGTACTTCCCACTTATGTAGCACTGGAGTAAGCACTAATGGATTTTTTCTTTGGTTATACTGCAACTGAAACACAATTTGTTGCCCTGTTACTTCAAGATTCACTGCATCTGTTAATGATTCTCAGTTGCCACTAACAAACCGGGCTCACACCAGGCCTCCTAAATTGTAAAGAATTATACCTGCAAGAACGATCAAGAAAAATGGAAAAATAGAGATGTACGCATACCGAACATACTCTGGTAAAAGATACATGACATTTTTGTATGTGCATAAGGTGAAGACAAGACTAATCCTGCCTGTGAGGCAAAGTTTAAATGCTTTAGATATAGAACCAAACAAAAATTTACAAACTAAATTATCTCCAGTATGAAAGCTAAGAAGGGATTCAGGAATACTAGTCAGCCAGGCTTGACTTCTGGAGGTAGGAAGTGCTGTGCACTTCTATTAGGACAGCCTGAGAATGAGTAATGCTCAACTTGTCTTCCTTTATGTCACCCCAACCTTGGTAGGAAATTGCCCCCAACAACAACAACAAAAAAAAAGAACAAATGTTCATAGAGAACCCAAAATAATTTTAGACAGGAACAGAAAACGCTCCCATCAGAATAGCATAATTTTTTTTTTAAACACATCGGTCGTCTCCCACCGAGGCAGGGTGACCCAAAATGAAAAAATCCCCAAAAAGAAAATACTTTCATCATCATTCAACAATTTCACCTCACTCATACAATCACTGTCTTTGCAGAGGCATTCAGATATGACAGTTTAGAAGTCCCTCCAAACTACCAATATCCCAAACCCCTCCTTTAAAGTGCAGGCATTGAACTTCCCATTTCCAAGACTCAAGTCTGGCTAACTGGTTTCCTTGAATCCCTTCACAAAATATTACCCTGCTCACACTCCAACAGCTCATCAGGTCCCAAAAACCATTAGACTCCATTCACTTCTATCTAACACGCTCACACATGCTTGCTGGAAGTCCAAGCCCCTCACCCACAAAACCTCCTTTACCCGCTCCCTCCAACCTTTTCAAGGACGACCCTTACCCTGCCTTTCTTACCCTACAGATTTACACACTCTCCAAGTCATTCTACTTTGATCCATTCTCTCTAAATGACCAAACCACCTCAACAACCCCTCTTCAGCCCTCTGACTAATACTTTTAGTAACTCCGCACCTCCTAATTTCCACACTCCGAATTCTCTGCAAAATATTTACACCACACATTGCCCTCAGACAAGACATCTCCACTGCCTCCAGCTGCCTCCTTGCTGCATCATTTGCAACCCAAGCTTCACACCCATATAAGTGTTGATACCACCATACTTTCGTACATTCCCTTCTTTGCTTCAATGGATAATGTTTTTTTGTCTCTACAGACACCTCAACGCACCCCTCACCTTTTTTCCTTCATCAATTCTATGGTTAACCTCATCCTTCATAAACCCACCCGCCCACAAGTCAACTCCCAAATATCTGAAAACATTCACCTCTTCCATACTCCCTCTCTCCAATGTGACATCCATCACCTTACTCTTACCTATGTTCACTTTCAACTTTCTACCTTTACACGCCCTCCGAAACTTGTCCACTAACCTCTGCAATTTTTCTTTAGAATCTCCCATAAGCACAGTATCATCAGTAAAAAGTAACTGTGTCAACTCCCATTTTGTACTTGATTCACCATAATTTAATCCCACCCTTCTCTCCAACAACCTAGCATTTACTTCTTTTACAACCCCATCTATAAATATATTAAACAACCATGGTGACATTACACATCCTTGTCTAAGACCTACTTTTACCGGGAAGTAATCTCCCTCTCTCCAACACATCCTAACCCAAGCCTCATTATCCTCATAAAAACCTTCCTTTAACTACTGTTCACATGTATGATTCAATGTAAACACGATCTACACATCAACTACCCACTAAAGCCTCCTTGCTCATCTGCAATCCTACTCTCTGTCTTACCACTAATTCTTTCAATAATAACCTTACCATACACTTTACCTGGTATACTCGGTACACTTTTTTCTTTTTTCAACATGTCAGTTGTCACCCACCAAGGAAGGGTGACCCAAAAAGAAAGAAAATACCCAAAAAGAAAATACGCTAGTGTTGTCCTACCAAGCGAATGTCAAAAGGAAGCTTGTATTTGTTTTACATGATGGTAGGATTGCTGGTGTCTTTATTTCTGTCTCATAAACATGCAAGATTTCAGGTACGTCTTGGCACTTCTACTTACACTTAGGTCACACTACACATACATGTAAACGTTTATATATACACACACTCATCTAAGTTTTCTTTGATTTTATCTTAATAGTTCTTGTTCTTATTGCTTTTCCTTTCATATCCATGGGGAAGTGGAATAAGAATCTTTTCTCCGTAAGCCATGCGTGTTGTAAAAGTCAACTAAAATGCCAGGAAGAATGGGCTAGTAACCCCTTTTCCCATATAGCCTACTAAAAAGAAAAAAAATAAGGAAACTTATTCCCCTATAATTTTTACAATCTCATCTGTCCCCTTTTCCTTAATATAAAGGAACTATACATACTCTCTGCCAGTCCCTAGGTACCTTTCCTTATTTCATACATTAAACAAAAATACCAACCACTCCAACACTATACCCCCCCCCCCTCTGCTTTTAGCATTTCTGTCATGATCCCGTCAGTTCCAGCTGCTTTACCCCCTTTCATTCTACATAATGCCTCCCCCCACATCCTCCTCCTCTTCACTCCTAAAATATGTTATACCTCCCTGGCCAGTGCATGAAATTACCACCTCCCTTTCTTCATTGACATTTAAAAGTTCCTCAAAATATTCCTGCCATCTACTCAATACCTCCAGTTCCCCATCAACTAACTCACCTACTCTGTTTTTAACTGACAAATCCAGTCATTCCCTAGGCTTTCTGAACTTCTCACTCCAATTTTGTTTCTTATTTTCAGCAAAATTTCTTGACAGTGCCTCTCCCACTATCATCTGCTCTCCTTTTGCACTCTCTCACCACTCTCTTCCCCTTTCTTTTACTTTCCATATACTCTTCTCTTCTTATAATACTTCTGCTTTGTAAAAACCTCTCATAAGCTACCTTTTTCTTTTATCACACCATTTACTTCATAATTCCACCCTGCACCCACCCTCCTATAGCCACAAACTTCTACCCCACATTCTAATATTGCATTTTTAAAACTACCCCAACCCTCTTCAACCCCCCTAACTATTCATACTTGCACTAGTCCACCTTTCTGCCAACAGTTGCTTATATCTCATCCAAACTTCCTCCTCCCTTAGTTTATACACTTTCACCTCTCTCTTACTTGCTGTTGCCATTTTCCTTTTGTTCCATCTACCTCTTACTCTAACTGTAGCTATAACTAAATAATGATGTGATATATCCATTGCCCCTCTATAAACATGTACATCCTACAGCCTACCCATCAACCTTTTATCCACCAATACATAATCTAACAAACTACTTTCATTAGGTCCTATATCATACCTTGTATACTTAGTTATCCTCTTTTTCATAAAATATGTATTACTTATTACCAAACCTCTTTCTACACATAGCTCAATTAAAGGCTCCCCATCTTCATTTACCCCTGGCACCCCAAATTTACCTACTACTCCCTCCACAATATTTTTACCCACTTTAGCACTGAGATCCCCAACCACAAGTACTCTCCTATACACTTCTTTCTCCCGGTGCATAAACGCTTACTATAACCCACTTTTCACATCCAACCCTTATTTTACACCACATAATCCTTGAATTTATACATTTATATTCCCTCTTTTCCTGCCATAACTTATCCTTCAACATTATTGCTACTACTCCTTTAGCTCTAACTCTACTTGAAACCCCTGACCTAATCCCATTTATTTCTCCCCACTGAAACTCTCCTACCCCCTTCAGCCTTGTTTCACTTAAAGCCAGGACATCCAACTTCTTCTCATTCATAACATCCACAATCATCTCTTTCTTATCATTCGCACAGCATCCACACACATTCAAACATCCCAATCTGACTTTTTTTTTTCTTTTTAGTAAGCTATACAGGAAAAGGGGTTACTAGCCCATTGTTCCCGGCATTTTAGTCGACTTTTACAGCATGCGTGGCTTACAGATGAAAGATTCTTATTCCACTTCCCCATGGATATGAAAGGAAAAGCAATAAGAACAAGAACTATTAAGACAAAATCAAAGAAAACTCAGATGAGTGTGTATACATACATGTGTACATGCATGTGTAGTGTGACCTAAGTGTAAGTAGTAGTAGCAAGACATACCTGAAATCTTGCATGTTTACGAGACAGAAAAGAGAGACCAGCATTCCTACCATCATGTAAAACAGACTTCCTTTTTACACTCACTTGGTGGGATGGTAGTACCTCCCCAAATGGTTGCTGTCTACCATTACTTAAAATTAGACAAACAAAAGGGCAAAACAAAATGTATACCTTAATTACAAAAATATTAGTTCTTTAGTCACAAAAAAAATCAATTCTAATTACTGCAATTAATCTTCACAAAGAAAAAATTGTGATTAGTCAATGAATTCAGCATACATGCACAATTCCCTGTGATCTTACAAAGTGAGCCCAGAGGCATGATGTGATAGTGACCTGGTCGTGAAGTGATTGAGCAAGACGAGAAGCCACATTCCGCACCATGCAATCTGAAGCAGGATTAGGAATGTGGTGGAGAGCTTCTTGTAGCACCAGAGCTTGTGTATGAGTGGAGGCTGTTAAGCTACTGGCACCTGGAGAAAGAAAAAATACAAATACAGCAATATAAAATTTCTTGTAAACAGTAAATGTAGCTTATGAAGTGCATAGCTACTCACCAGTACAAAAATATGTAGTACATTTATTTTGGAAGAACCCTGTGGTGGATTACTATTCTAAAACTATCATCTGTTAGTTTTATATGTCTGAAATTAAACAGAATATAGAATAAAATTTACCATGATGATTATCCATTATTTTAACTAGCAAATGTAGCTTGTCTGCAGCATACATCAATCTTCCAGTAACAAAATTGTGGAGAAATATTGCAATTAGTGTACATTATAATAAAAGTTAATTAGGTTTCAGTTACCTCCATGGCCAAAAAATTCATCATAGCTCCAATACCCATCTTCAAGCCTAACACCTCGAGAGAGAAACAACAGAAATTAGCCTTCAATAAAAATGCTTCTTCACCTCTTCTCTCTTCAATTATGCAAATGGGCGAGTACGCATCAAGAAGTTTTTATGCTGTAGAAGTTCAGTAATGATTTTATAAGTGAAGGAGTATCAGGGGTAAGATCTGAAGGTATGTGGGATGGCTAAGGCAGGGTTCAAGATGTGAGAAATGTCAATTCCACAGATTTCCCTAAAAATGTCAATGCAGCCTAGGGCATGCTTTTAAAATGTGCATCACAGTCAGTGAAAATCTACATGCTACACAGAAGAGCAGAATTTTCAAGTAGGTATCAACGCATCAGTTGAATACCTTATGCCCAATCAAGAGAAAATAGTCTTCATTATATTCCTGTTCATCAGTAATGCTCATCAAGTCCCTCTCATTAACCCTTTTGCTATCTTATTCATATGCCTACGTTACTGATCCTGTGAGCAATAAATTTTTACATAGATGCAAGAGAATGGTTAAGTGCAGCGAGTGAACAGTATAAACAAAAATCCTGCCCCATGTAGTCCACGATGAGAAAAGCAAACCTCTGACCTTGTGTTTGGTTTAAAACAGTGACTTTTAGGTGTCTTCTAGGGTGTTTTATATGGTTTTACTGGCTGTTTCTGAAACCATAACCAATCATTCTCATAGTTTATCAGAGAAACATGGTAAAATTTAATTTTGAGCTCAAAAAAAGGGGGCAAGTGTTATATAGGAGAGACTAGGGGATGAGATTAATGAACAGAGGACAGGTTCCTTTGGTGGCTGGACTACCTACAGTGCTTATTTTGGACTTTGGATTTAAACTGAAATTTGTGTGTAAAATTTACCACATTACCAACTCATGTGGACTTTATAAAGTTGTTCTGATAGTTGAATGGGTGGTTTCTTGCACCCGATCAACAGAACAAAAGCATACTAGCAAAATATGTAGGAATTTGGTCCAATTAAGCAATGTAATTGGCTTAAAATAAGACAAATTGAACATTGCCAAAACATCAATTACACCCAGACCACCAACTTTGTGCCTGCATAATTCCATAGGTTTTCCTATAAAATTTCAATTTTTGGTGCCATTGCCTTCATAAAAAGATTCTCTACCATTACAAGAAAGAATTTTTGTTTTTAAATCACACCTGCCAATACTTTTGACCTCAGCAAACTATTTGGGTGTCCTATAATGTCCTCTTGCCTTGAAAAAAAAAATCCAAGACCAGGTGGGGCCAAGCAGTGCATCATGGTTAACACTGCCTAACTAGTATAAGTAAACAATGAAACCAGGATCTATTGTTTAACCAACAACTTCCTTACCAGCAAACAGGGTGTGGAATATTCATAAATACATCTTATTCATTCCACATTTATTAAGATTTCATGATACTAACAGTGGAATTCAGCTAAAAAGCATACTGTATAGATTTAACCTAAATTAACTCAAGATGGTCAAACAATGCAACTTATTGCCATGTTTCAAAACAACTAATATAAGATGTCCTTGTAAATACACATTTTTCCAGTGATCTTGAAGGCACACAGGTGTTAACATAAGAACATAAGAAAGGAGGAACACTGCAGCAGGCCTGTTGGCCCATACTAGGCAGGTCCTTTACAATTCATCCCACTAACAAGCATTTGACCAACCCAATTTTCAATGCTACCCAAGAAATAAGCTCTGATGTGCAAGTCCCACTCAAATCCAACCCCTCTCACTCATGTACTTATCCAACCTAAATTTGAAATTACCCAAAGTCCTAGCCTCAATAACCCAACTAGGTAGACTGTTCCACTCATCAACTACCCTATTTCCAAACCAATACTTTCCTATGTCCTTTCTAAATCTAAACTTATCTAATTTAAATCCATTACTGCGGGTTCTCTCTTGGAGAGATATCCTCAAGACTTTATTAATATCCCCTTTATTAATACCTATCTTCCACTTATACACTTCGATCAGGTCTCCCCTCATTCTTCGTCTAACAAGTGAATGTAACTTAAGAGTCTTCAATCTTTCTTCATAAGGAAGATTTCTAATGCTATGTATTAATTTAGTCATCCTACGCTGAATGTTTTCTAACGAATTTATGTCCATTCTGTAATATGGAGACCAGAATTGAGCTGCATAATCTAGGTGAGGCCTTACTAATGATGTATAAAGCTGCAGTATGACCTCTGGACTTCTGTTGCTTACACTTCTTGATATAAATCCCAGTAATCTATTTGCCTTATTACGTACGCTTAGGCATTGCTGTCTTGGTTTAAGGTTGCTGCTTACCATAACCCCCAAGTCCTTTTCGCAATCTGTATGGCTAAGTTCTACATTATTTAACTTGTAAGTGCTAGGGTTATGGACACTCCCGAGCTTCAGAAACCTTGCATTTATCTACATTGAACTGCATCTGCCACTTTTCTGACCAAGAATAGAGTTTGTCTAAATCCTCCTGAAGTTCCCTAACATCTACGTTTGAATCAATTATCCTACCTATCTTCGTGTCATCGGCGAATTTGCTCATATCACTAGTAATTCCTTCATCAAGATCATTGATATATATTATAAACAACAACGGGCCCAAGACTGATCCCTGTGGAACGCCACTTGTTACTGATCCCCACTCGGATTTAACCCCATTTATAGACACTCTTTGCTTCCTGTCTGTGAGCCATGATTCGATCCAAGAGAGCACCCTTCCCCCAATGCCATAAGCTGCTACTTTCTTCAACAGTCTTTGGTGCGGAACTCTACCAAATGCCTTACTAAAATCTAAGTAAATAATATCAAATTCTTTATCGTGGTCAACAGCCTCAGAAGCTTTACTGAAGAAAGTTAATAAATTAGTTAGACAAGACCGGCCTCTTGTGAATCCATGCTGAGTATCATTAATCAAGCTATGCTTATCGAGATGGCTTCTTATAATCTCAGCTATAATTGACTCTAGTAATTTGCCTACAATTGAGGTCAGGCTTATTGGGCGGTAATTTGACGGTAACGACTTGTCCCCTGTTTTGAAAATAGGAATTACATTAGCCATCTTCCACATATCAGACACTACACCTGTTTGAAGAGATAAATTAAAAATATTAGTTAATGGTTCACAGACTTCCATTTTGCATTCCTTTAGAACCCTTGAAAAAACCTCATCAGGACCCGGTGACTTATTTTGCTTCAGTCGGTCTATCTGCTTCACAACCATTTCACTAGTGACTGTGATGTTACATAATTTATCTTCTTCTGATCCACTATAAAAATTAATTACCGGAATATTATTAGTGTCTTCCTGTGTAAAAACCGAGAGAAAATAATTATTTAAAATCGAACACATTTCATTCTCTTTGTCAGTAAGATGCCCATGTTATAGAAACAAATTACATTATGCTTATATAACCCAGGATATTCCTTTGAACCTGAATAATTAACCTTGGAAAATCCAAACAATGTGACTTATATCCATGTTTTAAGCAGTATTACACCTTTAAACAATTATAACAACTATCTGATGTATGGTAGAGTTATTATTGAAAGAATTAAGAGTAAGACAGATGAAAAAGGAGACTTTAGGAAAGGTAGGGGGTGTGTACACCAAGTGAAACATATAGGTGGTAGGTAAGAGACATAGGCAACTTTATTCCGAAACGTTTCGCCTACACAGGAGGCTTCTTCAGTCAAGTACAGAAAGTAGGCAGGAGCAGTAGACGATGTAATCAGTCCATCACCCTTGAAGTCGTAGATTCGAGGTTGTCAGTCCCTCAGCCTGGAGAAGTTCTGTTCCAAAGTCTGGAACTAACTGAAGATCAAGCGATAGTGTTGAGACTTAAATACTGTCGGAAGGAGAGGTGCAGAGTAGTAGTAGTGAGAATGTAGCCACTGAGAGGTCACTTCCCTCTCAGATCAAACAATTCTCACTTGAGAAAGTTGTCCAAGGTGTTTTCTCTTCTGTACCAAGATGCCATTGTGTTGCAGTGTCTGACAGAGCGAATACCAAAATGGTATAAAACACCGACAGGTTGGTAGGTAAGACACAAAGGCAATATTTAGGCAACTTTATTCCAAAACGTTTCGCCCACACAGTAGGCTTCTTCAGTTGAGTACAGAAAGTAGGCAGGAGCAGTAGAGACGGTGAAGAGTAGCAGTGAGAATGTAGCCACTGAGAGGTCACTTCCCTCTCAGATCAAACAATTCTCACTTGAGAAAGTTATCCAAGGTGTTGTCTCCTCTGCACCTCTCCTTCCAGCAGTATTTAAGTCTCAGCATTGTCGCTTGATCTTCAGTTAGTTCCAGACTTTGGAACAGAACTTCTCCAGGCTGAGGGACTGACAACCTCGAATCTACGACTTCAAGGGTGATGGACTGATTACATCGTCTCTCTACTGCTCCTGCCTACTTTCTGTACTCGACTGAAGAAGCCTACTATGTAGGCGAAACATTTCGGAATAAAGTTGCCTAAATGTTGCCTTTGTGTCTTACCTACCAACCTGTTGGTATTTTATACCATTTTGATATTCAACTTATAGGTGAACAGTATTTAGATAAGGGTAGAGAGATTTTTGTGGCATTTATGGATTTGGAAAAGGCATATGACAGGGTGGATAGGG